TAAAAATGACCTTTCACCGCTACAATTCGAGACCATCAATGAAAGATAGATTCTCAGAGCAATTTCGGTATTAGGGAAAGTGTTCTTCAGCTGAACAGCAAAATTCAGTCAGAGAAACAGCATGGGAAACGCATCACTTCAACGTTACATGCTAAGAATTTTGTGGATCACAATTACGACAGTTTTGTAAATTTTAGGATACTCTAAATGTGGGGGGCCCGGGGCACGTGCCCCTGTTGCCCCGCCCTTAATCCGCTAGTGTGTGTGTGTGTGTGTGTGTGCGTGCGTGCGTGCGTACGTGCGTGTGTGTGTGCGTGTGCGTGTGTGTGTGCGCGTGTGTGTGTGTGTGCGCGTGCGTGTGTGCGCGCGCGTATGTGTATGTCACAATGTGTGAGTGTGCATGCGCGCGTGTGCGTGCGTGTGTGTAGTCGAGTTTGTTGCTTGAAGTGTTGCCGTGTGCCGTTGTGTTGATGTTGTGTTAACGTCTGTTGTTGTGTACTGTCGTGTTGCTGTAGTCCTTTGTTGTTGTGTGTTGTTGTTGTTGTTGTTGTGTACTGTTGTGTTAATTTGTTAATGTGTTGACGTGTTGTTGTGTTAATGTGTGTCGACGCAGGGCAGAGCCTATAGCGCAACGTTAGAAAAAGTTTTGCGTTTGTAACCTCGTTATCTATCTTAGAGTTTGTTAACATTATTAGGAGATTGTTAATTAATGCAACTCATTAGCGTACAATTTACTAGCAGGTAAGAACTACTCTTTGCACACCTTGAGCTCTAAATTAGTGTAATACTGCCAGGAATAAAAAGGTTATAAATATAAAATATGTTAGTATGTTTAGTATGCTTGCATAGTTTAGAATGTTTAGTATGCGTTCCTGTTGCTACGAGTCAATATGTGCGTTGTATGTTGTGTAAGATAACACACACAATTTTAAAATTTTCTGTCAAGGTAGGACGTTTAAGTTTGTCAGTGAAAACTAATGAAGTGAGCTAACGCAACAGTTCATTGTCTCCTCCTTTACAAATATCGTGAGTCAGCATTCTGGACTGCAGCGTATAAAAAGTAGACACAATAATAAGATTATGGCGTAACGAAGTCCCACCTGTTTGTCAGGCTATGGTGTAATATTCAGTTTAAAGAAAACACTGATACATGTATGATGTATCTGTAGTATGATCAGGAGTAAGATAATATAGGATACTATATTATCTTACTCCTGGTATGATGTAGACTACAAATTCTGATCGCTAATTTATAGTTGCACTGAAATGCTGAAAGCTGAGATAGGAGAAGTGATAGTTTCTTTCGGACGTATTGTAATCGAGTAGTTTTGCCGATGTTATTTGATATGTTTCGGTATTGATCGCGAGGCCACGTGTAATTAGTTTGACATTGGGTGCTGGACTGCTGGTACATTAGAATCTTCATATTTTATCCGACATTAACTTTGCTACATTGGCCTGCGTGTAACCCTATGATATATACAGGAGTCCAGTGCTCAATTTTAAGGTTTTTTTGGGTTGTCCGGAGGACAACCAAGAGAGTAGCATATGGTTGTCCCTCAAGAGTTTTGGTTGTCCGGATATTATTTAAACATGTGCTGCATGCGCTCTGCTCACGTGATGCTCAGTGCTGTAAAGCAAAAGGCCTAATCATGTACATTTTGTACTTATTGCAGTGACAGCAGACATGGCCATTCGCATTGTTTCACTCATTATATAAGGCATATAGGCATATCTTTATTCTAGGCTTCCCAAAATGGCAAACTCGCAGTCGCTGTGCGTGCGTATATGTGTAAGTTGTGTTGAAGCGAGTTCGGGGACAGTACATGTATTCGAGGAATGATATATTCGCACACACTCACGCACACACGCACGCACGCACGCACAGCGACAGCGAGTTTGCATTTCTGGGAAGCTCAGTCACTAGATACGCGGTCTACGAACGACAGTCATCTTTCTGCTTGGACGCCTGCCTCGTCGCGTCTACGCTCGTAGCCTTTGATGACGGATTCGGCATGTCACACCTGACCGCGATTTCATGCGCAGCACATCTCTCCGTATCTGACAAGATGCACTCCTAAGGGGATAACGAGCTATAATCCTACATTTCGTTTCCCTCACATTAGTAATCCTACACGCATAACAGCAGCGCTATAGAAATGCCGCGCGCACACTCGCACGCACCGTCGGTCCGTACATTGTATTGATCCTCCTACTTTTTCGCATTCCCACCTTCGCCGGTGCATCTCCGTAAACTTGATTAACATTCGCAGGAACCTCGTCTGCGCGAGAGGATATATGCGTCCGTCGGCCGTGCACCGCACGCACACGCGCTGCTGACTCCAACGCCGCCGCCGTCGTCGTCGTCGTCATCGTCGGCGGCGTCGTGTGCGCAGGTGCGCGGAGAGTGTCGTCGCACGCTGTCGTCGCACGCACGCACGTACTCAGCACGTGAGAGTGTGTCGGCTGCAGTGACGTAGTGTCGCACGCACGCACGCGCGCACGTACGCACGCAGCCAGCGCGTGAGTGTGTCGGCTGCAGCGACGCATCGTGTGTGACGCACCTATAGCTGCCGGTAGCGCAGCTGGACACGGCAAGCATGGGCAAAATATTCAGCAGCCGCAACAAGGAGAACATCCGCAGAAACTACTCGGGAAGAAACGGGAGGTCGGTTCTGCTGCTATGTGTATTGTGTGTGTGTGTGTGTGTGCGTGTGCGTTTGCGTGTGCGTGTGCGTGTGCGTGTGCGTGTGCGTGTGCGTGTGCGTGTGCGTGTGCGTGTGCGTGTGCGTGTGCGTGTGCGTGTGCGTGTGCGTGTGCGTGTGCGTGTGCGTGTGCGTGCATGTCAGT